CCTAAGCTTTCCATTTATCTGTTTGTTTACTGAATTAAATTGTCTTTCTTCTTCCTTCCTTCCTTCCTTCCTTCCTTCCTTCCTTCCTTCCTTCCTTCCTTCCTTCCTTCCTTCCTTCCTTCCTTCCTTCCTTCCTTCCCGTCTCCTTCCTTCCTTCTCCCTCTCTCTTTCTCTTGTTTCTGCTGTTAAAATACCTGGCTTTTTTTTTTTTTCTTTCTGAGACGGGGTCTGGCTCTGTCGCCCAGGCTGGAGTGCAGTGGTGCAATCTCGGCACACTGCAGTCTCCGCCTCCTGGACTCAAGCGATTCTCCCGCCTCAGCCTCCCGAGTAGCTAGGATTACAGGCAGGTGCCATCATGCCTGTCTTTTTGTATTTTAGTAGAGATGGGGTTTTGCTATTGAAGGGGTGGCCTGCCCCTCCACACCTGTGGGTGTTTCTCGTAAGGTGGAACGAGAGACTTGAGAAAAGAAATAAGACACAGAGACAAAGTATAGAGAAAGAGAAAGTGGGGACCCAGGGGACCGGTGCTCAGCTTACAGAGGACCCACGCCGGCACCGGTCTCTGAGTTCCCTTAGTATTTATTGATAATTATCTTTACCATCTTAAAGATAAGGGAGTGGCAGGACAATAGGATCATTGTAGGGAGGAAAGGCAGTAAGACATACGAACAAAAATCTCTGTGACATGAATAAGTTTAAAGGAAAATGCTGTGCCTTGAGATGTATTTGCAAACATCTCCATAAACCTTTTAGCATTATTGTTTCAGTCTATCACATGGGGAGAAACCTTGGACAATACATAGCTTTCCTAGGCAGAGGTCCCTGCGACCTTTGGCCGTGTAAGTGTCCCTGGGTAGTTGAAATTAAGAGAATGGTGATGACTTTTAACCAGCAAGCTGCCTTCAGGCACTTGTTTAACAAAGACACATCCTGCACAGCCCAAAATCCATTAAACCTTGAGTCACCGCAGCACATGTCTCTTGCAAGGACAAGGTTGGGGGTAGGGTTACAGATTAACAGCATCTCAAATACAGAACAAAATGGAGTCTCTTATGTCTACTTCTTTCTATATAGACACAGTAACAGGCTGATCTCTTTCTTTTCCCCACAGCTATGTTGGCCAGGCTGGTCTCAAACTCCTGACCTCAGGTGATCCTCTCGCCTCAGCCTCTTAAAGTGCTGGGATTACAGGTGTGAGCCACGGGGCCAGGCCACAAAGTAATGCTACAGATTTATTTACTAAGCATTTAATGAAAACTACTACTTGCTATGAGGATGCTGTGAGCAGATGCTGCCCCTGCAGCAATGAGGTTCAGCCGGGAGAGGAAGAAGGCTCTCCCGTGAGAGGAGTGTTTCCAAGGAGAAGTACAGTGTGTAAGGGGACTCAGTGTCAGCTCCTGGTCTACACTGAGGGCCTCCTTAAGGAAGTGACATTTGTCAAAACCTGGACTCATATTGGTGGAGCTTTGAGGCTCTTTTTCAGGATAACATTGATCTCTTTCTGCTTGTTTCTGTTGAGAAGTTTCCTGGTGCAGAGGAGGCAGGAAGGCTCCAGGGACCACCTGATAAAGTTGAGAGAAAAGGACGGCCTTGGAGTTGCTAACAAACTTGTTTAGATCTGGCCGAGGATGCTGGAGGCTCATGGAGCACAGGGCTCTAGACCCTAGTATTTCTGCATTCTTTCTGCCAGGCTGTGCTTCCCTCCAGGAACGGGAGCAAAGAAATAGGCCATTTTCTGTTTTGTCCACTGGGTGGAGTATTTTAGCCAACGAAGGGGGCTTTGGCAGCAGTGACTTTGTAGGCGATCTTTGCCTTGGAGAAGAGGCAAGCTTGGACTCGTCCGGAGTCACGCCCATCAAAACCCTGCTCCGCAGCTAACATTCATCAAACTTCATCACACCTGTGTGTTGGGCTGAGGCCCATCCTGGTAAAAGAAAATCTTGTAACAGATTTTAACATCTTAGAGCCAGAAAGGGGGCCGTAGGAGCTTGGTGACTCTAACCCTCTTCCACAAATTGCGAGTGCTAGGACCCCAGCCTGAGGGCTCCTAACCTAATCACACAGGCGGGCGGAACCCAGGTCTCCTGCCTTTCTGGGGGCGGTTCTTTCTGGCTAAGCCGCCTCAGAGGCACCCAGATAGACACCTGCAGACCTTCGAAGGGAGGCGTGAGAAAAGACATACGTTTCTCTTTGTAGATAAAATGGTCTGAGAGAAAATCATTCTGCCACCTGTCAAGAATAAACAAAGTAAATGAGCTAGGTTAGATTAAGGGACTCTAGGTGGCCGCCACTCACAGTGAGGGACTGGAAATGGTTAGCAAAACAAGGGGCCTACGCCATATATTGTGACAACAATGAACATTTATTTGTATTGATTTGTGTGTTTTGTTCTACCCCTTCTTGTTTAAAAACAAAACAAAAAGTACCTACTAATGGCACATAAAACATTTCAGCACAACCACATAAACTAGAAGTGCATGACACATTGGCTTGGGCCGCAGTTAAAGCTGGAACAAAACAGCTGATTTGCAGGAGGTAAGGTTGACTCAGAAATGTGTGAAGCATTCTTTGTTTAAAAAATAAATGAATTGGCTGGGCCGGGTGGCTCATGCCTGTAATCCCAGCACTCTGGGAGGCTGAGGCAGGCAGATCACCTGAGGTTGGGAGTTCAAGACCAGCCTGACCAACATGGAGAAACCTGATATCTAATAAAAATACAAAATTAGCCAGTCGTGATGGTGCGTGCCTGTAATCCCAGCTACTCGGGAGGCTGAGACAGGAGAATGGCTTGAACCTGGGAGGTGGAGATTGTGGTGAGCCGAGATAGGGCCATTGCACTCCAGTATGGGCGACAAGAGCGAAACTCCATCTCAAAAAAAAAAGAAAAAAAAAAGAGAAGAAAAGAAAAAGAAAAAGAATTAAAGTTGGTGATCAATAAGGCAGAGGAAAAACAAAAATAGGAAAATGAAAGGCCGATAGAAAATGAGCCTGGTACGTTAAATGCAAACTATGAAAACCTACCTCTTGCTGACAGTGGAGTGTGAATGTAGACCTCATAGCTACCATGGCTGCTTGGGGGAAACATGATCATCACAGCATATGTCAGTGGCTGCCTGTTCTCAGGGCTGGGCTGCCTGGCCCAAATCAAGTCCATGATCTAGCGGCAGGAACTTTCCACAGCTCAGGATTTTCATAGTAAACCAGACTTGAAGGCTAAACTAAATTTTAAAAAATTATTTCTTTTCCCTTATAGTTTTGTCAATTATAAGTCGGAAGGAAATTCAAGGACTTTGACTTTAAATATCTCTCGATTTTTCAGTAACAGTTAAACCTACTTACATATTAAGAAAAGTAGAGCAAATTCTAAATAAAGGTAACCCAGTGAGATCAAGACAACTGGGAACAGTTTGGGGAGGCTGACCTCAAAAAGACAAGACACACATTGTTTCACTCAGAAATCTTTTCCCCCTTAAATTTCCTAAAGAAAGCAGAGATCTTGCATGCTTGCCACTGACTTGGAAAGCTAAGTGCACCTTACAATGGATATTCTTGGCTCCATCTTTTGAAAACTTAGAGACTACACCATTAGAAAGAATGGAAGGCCGTCAAGGGTTTTAGTGATGGATTCTTCAAGGCCCAAACTTCCTGCACATGAAAGTGTAGCATCAAGACAACCCCTCATCAGCCTGACTCTCAAGGTAAGGCCCTCTGACTGCAGGGGAGCCTTGCCTTACTCATAGAGGCCACAGATCTTCTCTTTGCCTTCTAACCCCTGCAAAAGCTGTGTGTGACAGAGTACTCTGTCTTTTCAAAGCTGATTTATAACTGAAGGAGAACAGAAACTTGGTCAGAATCATGAGTGCCCTAGATGCCTTTGAAGAGGGGAGAGACATGACTGGACTAGGGTTGGACTGGAAGAGATGGTCAAGAAGGTACTTAAGAAAAGGGGTGTTTGCAAGGGCATCACCCAGAGTCAGAGGCAAGACAACCAGGAGCAGCAGCTTTGAGGCAGGGTTGAATTCTTGCTCTGGCAGTTAGAAATGCTGCAAACTCAGACAAGTTGCTGTTAGCTCAGTGGTAGGGTGAGCCCTGATCACTTCTACCCCAGTTACCTACTGGATTCAAGGAGAAAATGGACAAGAAAGGGTTCACAAACCATTCATATTAGAAACAGACAAATATCCTTTATATAACCAATGTTCCACCAGCTCTAGTGAGAAGTAAGTACAATAGCTACCATTTTTGAGCACCTGTTTTGTGCCATGCTTTTTCATCTATGTGTTTTAAACTTTATGGTTATTATCAGCCCCACTTTACATAGAGGGGAACTGATAATCAGAGAGGGCAAGTGACCCTCCAAAGTTCATTAGCTGTTAAAAGGCTGAGTAGGGATTTGAACTGTGAACCTTGTTTCATTTTATTCTAATGAGGACAGATTCTTCTGGTGTCAGCTGGGTTCAGCAGGGTGTCCCTGCACCCCTCGCCCAGTGGCTGGCAGAGGATTTTTAAGAAGAGAGGATGGAAGGCAGAAAAAAACAGGAGTAGAACATGAGGAAGTCTACCTTGGGGCTCCGTTTTGTTTCATGTTGCAGTGAGGAACAGAGGGTGAGCAACCACTGTGAGGGGACAGGCTGAGTTACCTCCCTGGAGTGATTGAACAATTCAGTAATGCATGAGTGTCATTCTGTATGTTTGAACTCCCCATTTGCTTATTGGCACCATAGTCCCTTATCTCTCTCCCTCTCGAGTTTCTTTCTCTTCTTTGACCTTTCTAGCCTCCTTATTTCATGCATGCACATTCTTGTCTTTTTCCTCCTGCCTCTTCCCTCTTCACCATTCGGACAGACTGTATCAGCGAATCCCTCTACAGTGTCGTATCTAACTTTTTTATTCATTGCATGATTTATTTTTAGCCTGAAACAACTGCATCCTAAAAATGGAGTTCCTAATGAGACAGAGGCTGAGCAGAGCTATGTAAGGTATCTGGGGCTTGGCCTCCCAGCCTCCCTAGCTTGGCTGTTTTTCTACTCTCGCGCGTGCGTGCGTGTGTGTGTGTGTGTGTGTGTGTGTGCGCGCCTCTGCTCTTTGTCCTGAGCCCACGATTCCAGAGCTGGCTGGACCCAAGGAGGTGAAGAGTCACTTCTCGGCCCCAGGAAGGGCAAAGAAGAGAGACAAAATCAGCCTGTCTGCTCCCTGCTTGGCTCAACAAGGCCTCTAATAGTCTTTTGTCCTTTCTTCTGCACACGGCGTATTTGGGAACAAGAAACAAAAATTTTTCCAAATGAAGAGAACTCACTTGTTTATTGTGGGGGTTTATTTTCTGTCCTCTTGCAGGGCAGAAGAGGGGCTTAATTTCCCCACATATGATGGGAAGGACCGAGTGGTAAGTCTTTCCGAGAAGAACTTCAAGCAGGTTTTAAAGAAATATGACTTGCTCTGCCTCTACTACCACGAGCCGGTGTCTTCAGATAAGGTCGCGCAAAAACAGTTCCAACTGAAAGAAATCGTGCTTGAGGTAAGTAATCAAAGGGCGTGCTGTCCGTGCTGCCTCAATGAGGTGATGAGGGAATGCCTTTGGCCAGGGTTGGGATATGGGAACGAGGAGGCAGAGAATATATACTGAGGTCTGCTTTATTTTGGCCTCACGTGAATCAGATGCCCTTGTTGCACAGCTGGGGTGTGTGAACAATGAGGGGTGGGTCCTAACTCTTCAAATGAAGAGGACCAAACGTGCTACACTATGATGGGTCTGATGTAAAGTCTCTATGGCCCCCTTGACTTTTCAAGGGCCCTTGTCCCAGTCACTGTTTCCCAGATAGAATGCAGAAACTGTTGTTAAAACTGTTGGCTGAAATGAAATCCAGGGACTACTTGTGGATTTCACTCAGTGTGCCCACTCTGCTCTCTCAAATCTCCCTGTGATCCTGGAGAGACCAGAGTTACCTGACCTTGCCTCTCTCTGGGGGTCAGATGGAGAATATCACTAAATGACTTTCCTCTCTCGTGATTTGCTGTCAGTCAGCATTACAGCATGTAGTTGTGTGCAGATTTTCTGAGCGGCATATTCATTTATGTGATTTTTTTTTTTTTTTTCTCAGAAAGTTCTTGGTGTGACTTTAGGGCAGAGCTGAAGTCAGTTCTTATTTTATCCGCATTACATGGCCTGCCTGTTTGTAACCTGGCACTGGGGCCCATTTTCTAGTCCTTTGCGAGTGCCCCAGAAACTATTCCTGCAGCTCCTCCTGGACAGCTTAAGATGGCTTATACTTTAAGAGTGCCTGAGGGTGCCAAGAATGCTAGTGGGCACCAAGATGCCTCATCAGTCCCCATGCCTAGCCCAGGCGCAAACCTGTGAAAAGGATATTTAATTACAGTTTGTTAACCAGTGCAGAGAACTCAGGTTGATGAAACAGTTTGATTAACAGAATTATCATATAAAACCCATGTGGATTTGAATTTTTTCCAATTGAAACATTGACTGTCATAAAATCCAGCAAAACTATCCCAAATACATCAAAAATATATTTCCAACCTTGAGTGCTGAATGTGGACGTTCAGTTCTCTCTGTGGGTTGCAAGAAAAGAGAAAGCAGGGATAGTTATTAAGACTTTATTCTATAGAAATGAGCAAATCACAGGCTGGAAAAGAACAGGACATAGAACTTAGCTGCTGCTTAGCCCATGAAACCAACACTTACATTATATCTCCATTTCAAACTGCCATACTCAGTTATCAAGAGACATTGTTATGAAAACTTAATAGAAGGCATAAGGATTCTCCCCTATATGCTCATTGCTGTCCAGTTAACCTAGAACTCCAAAAGATTGCCTTTGGTTGGCCTGTACAGTCAAGGACATTCATTTCTGATTCTAATTTTTTTTAAAGAAATCTCTTTCTATCATCTGTCTATCTATCTATCTATCTATCTATCTATCTATCTATCTATCTATCTATCTCTAGCTCCCCCAAGTATATATGTCCCCAAGGACTATGCAAAATCATGAACAGGAACTTCCCCTGGGCTTACCATCCCTCCAGACACCTTTGATCCAAGAGTGCCCTTTTCACAGTTGGGTGCCAGCCCAGCAGAGACCGATAAGGAAAAGTTCATGACAGGAGTTAATTTGATGCCCCTAGGCTGCTAAAGCTGGAGTGAGGCATCATTAGGAGAAAAAGAACACAGAACTTGAAGTTAGGATATCCAGATTTAAGTTCTGGCTTTGTCTCTACTAGGCATAGGACGCAGGGCAAATTATGTAATTTCTCAGAGCCTCTTTTTATTATCAATAAATATAGAAAAATAATAACTATCATGCAGGCTTAAGAACTGATTAAATAATAATAATGTTTATTAAATGCTTACTAAGCACAGGGACTGTCCTAAGCACTTGGTATGTGTTAGCTTGTTTAATCCTTTCAATAATTCTATTAAGTAGGTACAGTTACCAATTCCATTTTACAGATGGGGAAACTGAAGCAGAGAGGCTAAGTTGTCCAAGGTCACACAGCTACTGCAGATGAAGGCAGTACATGATACCTATACTGCGCCTTTCCTGAAATCAGTGCGAAAATGCCCAAGGGGCTTCTGGGTAGACTGTTTAAAACAGTTTCAAGAGTCTTCCTTAAACAGAGTTGCTCAGCCTCTGGGCCCGGGTCTGATGACGCCAGCTTTACCACCAGCATGGCCGAGAAGTACGTGGCCTGGAGGCACTGCTTATGCAAAAGTACAAACTGAGGAGGAGGCCTGGGCTCCATTAGTGAAGGTGAGGAAGGGGTGGGCCTTTGTAGAGATACTTGTCAGGTGCAGCATCAAGGGAAAAAATGGCTCCAGGAAGTCCATGAGTGGAAAGAGTGAACACGCCTTTAAACTTTCTTCATGGTCGAAACAACTATTTTGTCCTCTTAATCCTCTAGACCCCACACTTGCACTAAGAAAAATAGTCTGCCAGCTTCCAGGGCTGTGGCTGTTGGGGGTAGGGGGAAAAGAGAAGGCAGTTCCCAGTGTCCATCCATCAGGCAGTGTGGTCTCAGCCATGGGCAAATAGCTGGAGGGGAGGCGGCTCCCTTCCCCCTTGCAGCTTAAGGCAGCTTCTGACACTTTTTATCATAACCGACTATGACCCAGTACACACAGACACACACACACACACACACACCCCAGAAACAAAAATTTCATGAAACTATACTTATAATTATTACCCGGGGAATTAAAATTTTTTTTTTCTATTTTTATCCCGTTCTCTTCTATTTCACTTTAAAAATCGATCTCAACCTATTAAGTTGATTTCGCTCTCCAGTGAGGAGTTGCCATCCCTAGGCTGAAACAGCTGAGGAATTTCTAGGAATTAGAAGCTCATAGCTCCTCACACTAGGGCCACCCCATTGTAAGAAACTCCAAGGGCGCTGTGGCCAATCACGTATATTTTGTCTGCATCTCTAAGGGTTGTCAATGAAAAGAGCCAGAAACAGCTTCATCCACAGAGCGAGGAGGTCACTGCCTGATGAGGGGCACTTGAAATGCCATTCAATTAGTCATGCATCTGCCACCTACTTTATGTTGGGGTGCTGGGATAGATGCTGTGGATATAGGGAACATGAGACCCTCAAGTGGCTCACAGCTGAACACGGAAGAAAACACGCGAACTAAGAGCTACGGTGCAGGGAGGTTGCTGTAACAACAGAGCAACTTATAAGTTTCTCGGGGAGAGTAGAGGAAAGAGGAAGAGCCAGAACTGGTTTGTGAAATGAGTAGGAATTTACTGGCAAAACAGCACATATTCTGATGGCTCTCAAGTATTTTTCCACCTGCTAGCTTTTTCCTAAAATTTGGCCAAGAGGGCCTCATTTCTTTAGGGTAAGATTTTTGTCCCGACTTAGTCAAGGTCCTCTGGGAGAGGTAGACCTTTGAGATGTTGCCAGTCACTTACATCCCCTGAGTCTGAATTTGTCGTGAGAACAGGACTGGACAAGGGGAAGAGGAGAAGGGGGAGAAGATAAGGTCTATACAGCTTAGCAAGAAATAGGCAAGTAATATGACACCAGGAGGAAGCAAACTCAAACTTTGCTTTCCAGTCTGGCCAGAGTCCAGTTCTGGAGGGCCCAAGGGTCAGTGTATGATCCACAGTGCCATGTAGATGTTCTACACATGCTTGTTGAATGAGTGAATGAATGTTAGAGCTCAAAAGAACTGTGGGAGTCATCTAGGTTGCTCTGAACCCCTCATTTCATAGCTGTAACCCTGACTTAAACAGCTGGTAGTTCTGATTCCTGCTTGGCTTTCTTCATCAACAAAGTAGCATATACTCCTTTAGATTTCACAGTATGTGAAAAGGGACTAAAAGGCAATAAAAGTAATCACACCAAAATAAACGTGGATAATGTTCTGGTAGATTTCTTTCCAGTTTTTTTCTGTACATAAGTATACATTTTTCAACTCGGAATTATACCATTTATACAGATTTTGTTTCCAGCTTTTTTTTCACATCCGTATATTGTATTTCTATATTATTAAACAGTAATGTTAATACCAGCATAGTATTTCACTGTATTATCATACATATTTTAAAAATAATTACTGTATATTTGGATCCTGACATAATTTTTAGAGTTTTAAAAATCTTTATCTTTTCATGATTGTTTTAATGAACACTTCTTTGATTTCTGGCTAAAGTTTTCCATAAAATTGTTTTGCCATTTATATATTTTTTTCTTCCATAAATTATTTTTCTATGCCTTTTCTCATTTTTCTACTGGGGTGTCAACACAAATTATAAAAGGAGTTGCAATTTTGCATGCTGTCTCTTGCAGCTTCCGCCAAGATAGTTAATTTCGTCACACCACAGTGGCCAACTTCCATTAGCATTACAGGACTCAGAGACAGAGGAGATGGTCAGGGAATTCAGTTTCTCCTTGTGGCTTTGTTTCCTGCTTCCTCTTTTTTCTTGAAACTGCTGTGCAAGCCGCTGCTCCTATCGTGTCCTATAAATATTGCCAGAGAAAAGTCCTTCAACATCACCATTTCCCTGAGGTTGAAGTGCTTGAGAGATGGCATGCTCTAACACGGGCTTCCAGATCAGAGATACCTGGCTTCCTTATTTGCAAGGTGGAGATGACAGTGCTGTTGTGAGGATTGAATGAGGCTGCCCAGCAAGAGCATAGCTCTGGCACACAGAAGATACTTAACAAATGCTGGCTTCTTTCAGCCCACACTCACTATTTTGTCAGGATTCTAAACACAGTGCAACCAACCCCATCAGTTTACAAACTGAGGAAACCAGGCCTTGGGAGCTGGGGACTGGAAATGCATTGCCATCTTGCTTATTCCCAGCCAGTTTGATTCACTCCTCCTCTTACTGCTTATTCACTCCTCCTCTCTGGGGCTGGAGAGGAGGAGTGACTTGCCGGTGGTCACAGGGCGCTCTCAATGTACCCGTTTGGCATTCCCTCTGCTCTCAAGGCTTTGCTGAGCCTGTGTCGGCTATGTCCAACCACCTCATCAATACCATTTATTAAATT